CATCCGCCAGCTTTTCCCCAAGAGAATTCTTGACGCCATGTCGTCCTGGTGTGACCACTCGACAGAACAGCCCCCGAGCTCCCCGAAACAGACTTCAAGATCCAGAGACAGAATGTCAACCTACGTTCGGAACTGCAACACTCCGAACAAACCAGCCGCAAGAAGCCCGTGACTACAGGACTTCTCCGGTTCTCAAAATTTGAGTACTGTTTCGGCATGCTTTTTGAAGTACCGTCTGATGATTGAAAAACGCATTTGCGTGGAATCACAGGTTTGGTGCCTCAGGCAATATGTAAATACTTCCCGAAATTCACGAAGGTGTTAGGCTTTATGTAAACCCTGCTACCTCTGAACTGTCAACCGCAAAGAAGCTTAGGTGGCAAGATATGCTGAGAAATGCTTCATTTGAGCTTATTGGCATTATCATAAATCACTATGAAACGTCAATTGGTAAGCTTTTGAAAGAAGAAACTACCCTGTCTAGGCAGCAAATTTGTTGAGTGTACATGAGAAAAGAAAGGTAGACGCCCTAGGCAAAATAAAAGCTCGGAAACTATTGTGGGCTGATGCTCCAGCAGCACTCTACATGACTAAGATTAGGAGTTCGCCATTTACTTTTTTACGAACACCTAAAACATTGCCGAAGATAAGCCAACAGGACGCCAATGCAGTCAACATTTTTGACGTTACATTCCTCCCAGCAGAGGAAGGGGTTCTTTCAAAAGGCCTAAATTTTGGTCCAACTTCTGGCGGCCATGACGAATTTCAGTTGATGAAGAATATATATGTTTCGCTCGGAATCTCAGGCTAAAGGAGTGTTTTCACGACCATGCTAGCAACTAGGAAGCTCGCCCGGCTATACTCTCCATGACACAATGGATGCCCGCCTCGCAAAGAAGATAAGTGCCAAGACCTTTACATCAAAGCTGTCTCGCGTGACAAGCTCTACGCTTAAAAAACGCGTAGTCCGTTCCAAAAAAAATTGTTCTACCAGAACATTTGACGCTCTCAAAATTTTGAATGCACGTGATGATACTGTCATAAAACCAGCAGACAAAGGCAGCTTGATTGTGATAACGGGCAAAGAAAGTTACATAAAAGAAGCCGTATTAGAGTTATCTGACACTGCTTTAGAATAACTTCCCGTTATCCTACCACTGACTTCTTTGTCATCATAAAAGATACCATTAAAGCATTTGTAAAAAAGAAAAGAGTCCATGATAAGACAGAACGCCGCCTCATTTCGCTTATTCCTTTTGCCGGAATGTTTTAACTGCTACCAAAGATACAAAAGTCAGCAAATCCAGGCCGTCCCATTGTTTTATCCATTCGAACAGTATTAGAAAACATATCTTGTTACGTAGAGAGTTTCATAAAATTTCTTCCACCCACATTCGCTTCCTTTGTTAAGGGTACGAATGATTTTCTCAATGGAATATCGCAACTAGAAGTATCTAATAATTCACTTCTGGGGACGATGAACGTCATCTCCTTCTACACTAAAATCCCCCTCAAGGACGGTATACAGGCTGTTCTATATTCATATGACCACCTCGAATCTGACAAGCTAATTGACACGTCAACTCGTGAAACACTGCTGAAGCTAATTGTCGAGTTAATAACGTCGAATTACATGACTCTCATTACGTACAGATCAGTGGAACATTGATGGGGACAAAGATAGGCTCTACATACGCAAACATCTTCATGGGAGTGCTCGAAGACTCGTTTCTTTAAGGGTGTGCCAATAAAGTCTGTGCACTTCAAACGCTGCATCGATGACATATTTTTTTATTTGGACACATGGTGAAACCAAACTTCTAAACACTATAGCGAAATTCAACCATGTACAACCCGGTATAACATTCTCCTATGCTCACTCACCCTTGTCTGTAGCTTTCCTCAACGTCACGACTACCATTTCCCATGGACACCTAATTACGAAGCTTTTTAAAAAGCCAACGGTAATCACCAGACCCTTTATTTTGAAAGTAGCCACGTGCGCCATTTGAAAACTGGAATTCCATATAGCCATGCACAGCGCTTTAGGCGCATATGCTTCGAAGATCAAGATTTTATTTCCTGCCGCCATCATCTGAAGAAGAAGCTTCTTAAGTGAAAATATCCAGAAAAAATTATTGATAACGCCATTCTCCGAGCCAGAGGACGCGATTGAATAGACTGTTTAAAAGGTAGCATAAAAAGCAACGGGCTGCAGTAAGCCAATTTGGTACTAAAACGCTCAGCGTGCATCTACAAAGTTCAAGGTATACTGCGTAACCATTACAACATCCTCCCCCAAAGCGACAGACTAAAAGCGGTCTTTCCTGAGCCCCCTCGATTTGTGTAAAGGTGCTCAAAAAACATAGGTAGCATCCTGACGTCATGTAAAAGTGATACCACTCACCATACTGGTTATAGCTGCTGCAACAAACCGCGTTGTAAAGTTTGTTTTCATATAGAACCGTCATTTACGGCCACCAGCACATCTAACCAACTCATTTTCACAATTAAGGGCAGCTTTAATTGGGATTCATTCATTGTAGTGTATTTGCTTTAGTATGGCACCTGCCACTTGCAATACACAAGCCACACTGAAACCCCATTCAGAATACGTTTTAACAATCACAGATCGCATGCTAAAACCCAACCAAACCTTTCATTATCAAAACATGTGAATATGCCCGGCCACTCAATTAGTAACCTTAATGTCACAAAACTAGAATCGGGATTTCACACCAGCCATGATCGTGAACTACACGAATCATATCTCATTCATAAATTTAACGATGTTTCCGCTGGAGTCAAAGAAAAAAAAGAAAACTGACCTGTCTTTCAGAAGATTAGGAGCAATGATGCACTGGTTTCACATTGTACCACCTAAAACACGCCTTCTTTGTTTGCCCCTTTTGCTTTTTTTCAAATTCATCTACATTTTTGAAAATTTATCTTCAATCATTTCACAGTGGCTTCAATTATACGATCACATTTTGCTGAGATATTCTTCTACTACCATGCAATGTAATTACACAACACTGTGCTTCTACATCTTTTAACTACATGTAGGAATTTTACCACGTCACAATAGATGCAAGGGAATCCTCAACCATGTCTTCAGTGTGTGTGTGTCCTTCTGCTTGTTTCTTTTTTTTCTTTTTTTTCTTTTTTTTCTGAAGCACGTGAGACATTAGGTGCGCATTGTAATCGTAACCGGCGCAGATGGCGCTGACCTGTTATTGAAAGGAGCTTTTAAAGCCATGTATGAATTCTTGTCACATTATATCTGACGACGGCTGGTCTACCAGCTGAAAACGCTAAGTAAAGACGCTTCCGTGAAAGTTTCGTCGTCTTTCTTGCATACAATACGTCGGGTCCAGCGTGAATGACCTTCAAAGAATCTGGTATATATATATATATATATATATATATATATATATATATATATATATATATATATATATATATATATATATATATATATATATATGAGATCTAACAGACAGTAATGCCAAGGAATGTACAGGAGAAGTTATTAGAACCAGTAGAATTTAATTAAGAAGAAAGAAAAGTGGATGGAAAAATAACCAGCCGTGAGCAGGAATTGAACCTACGACCTTCGAATAACGCGTTCGATGCTCTAACCATTGAGCTACCACAGCAGCCTCTGTGGTACGAGAGGCCGCTTTGGTAGCCCTTATTCGAAGGTCGTAGGTTTGATTCCTGCTCACGGCTTGTTATTTTTTAATCCACTTTTCATTCTTCTTATTTACTTTCCATTGGGTCTAATAACTTCCCCTGTACATTCCTTGGCATTATCGTCTGTCAGATCTCATTAATATTGTGTCAAAACACGGAAAAACGAGCCTTTTGGTATACACTTCTTTTCCTTATATATATATATATATATATATATATATATATATATATATACACTGATGAAAAGAAGTGTATACTTAAGGGCTCGTTTTCCCGCGTTCTGACACGATAATAATGAGATCTGACAGACAATAATGCCAAGGAGTGTATAGGGGAAGTTATTAAACCAATATAAATGTAAATGTGAAGAAAGAAAAGTGGGTGAAAAGGTAACTTGCCATGAGCAGAAACCGAACCTGCGACCTTGGAATAATGCAGGTTCGGTTCCTGCTCACGGCAAGTTATCTTTTCACCCACTATTCTCTCATCACAGTTACACTTATATTGGTTTATTAACTTCCCCTATACACTCCTTGGCATTATTGTCTGTTATATCTCAATAATATTGTGTCAAAACACACATATATATAAAGTGTATGCGCAGTTGTAGACCTAGCTCTAAGAAATCGCCGGTGTTGGTTATGAAACCTCAATTCTGACTCTTTCAGCGGGACGCGACTTGGGGCCAAATTATATGTATATTGTTTCGAAGGTATGGCATTACAAAAACTACGCTATGATTGTGAGGGATGCCGCGAGGAAGCGCTCTGGAAATTCGGACCACCTAGTGTTCTTAACAGAACTCCATCGAAATGTTGGCCTTGCGTGGACGATCCGGTACCGTGATCTTGGTACCGTGATCAGCAGTCGAGCACCAGATCCTGGTCAAGAAATATTCGGCCACCTTGCCGTGGTGCGTATATTTGTGGAGCTGTACAGCTGCACAGCCCCACTCAAAGAAATGGTGAAAACTACAACATTCAACAAGTAGTTGACTTGCCGCTACATTAATCCCTCCATGAGTATCCATACTGAAGAAACAAATAGGTGAGCTTGGAAGACTTTCATATCTCACGACGAACAAATTCTGAGAGTGCCCTTGAAATGGTCATTACACTAAGCTCTGACAGCGCTAAAAATGTGCACGCATAGCTGCTCTCACCTAGAAAACGTTTTTGCGGGTCAAATATGAAAGAAAGGGCACTGCATAACACTTGATTTGATTCTACTCCTTTGTGTCAGTTGTCCTGTTATATATCATATCGGCCACAGAACACGCGAAAAAAATTTAAATTTGAACTTACGGCAGCTCTTCGTGATACCACACAAAATCTTGCGGCAGTTTCTTCATTCTTGGCTTGAACAAGTTGTAGTCAATTACGGTCCATTGACTATTTCCCCTGTAAAGAAGTAAAAAAGGGTTGAACAAACTTGACTTAGGTGCCTGCAGAGTAGCAAACTCCTACTGATGGTGAGCAGTTCATCAAGCTGTACACTCTAAGGCAAAATTACCCAAAAAACGAGTAACGGAGCCCAATAGGCGCGCGATTAACGGAGAGAGCATTGAGGAGCAACCACGGAGGGAAGCGTGCCGCGGGAAACCAAGGGATGAACCGCCCGGGAATCGCAGGCAGTGCGAAATGCGTTGTGAAGGTGACCTGCCCTCCTTCTCCTCCTCTGCTGGCGCAGTCTTTCCCCGTATTTTGCCGGCGACGGTTAGCGTTGCGTCGCACTCGGAGTGCTTGACCACGGCCGCCTGGATTTGACGATCTAAGAATTACGACGTAGTGCTTGTGTATACGCTTGAATGAGCGTGGGCTGCAGCTTTTGCGTTTCGTTGCACCCATGAAGTCTAGAGCAAGTGTCGACACGTCACCACGCCGCGCTGTATATCTCTGGCTTCAAGATAGTCACAACGAACACACGACAGCAACAGTAGGGAAGGCCAATATGGCGACCGAGAAGATAACAGATCTATTGGATATATACTTCAGTTCGACTCAGGGCGGAAAACAGCGCTCGATTCTAAGGTAAGTAGGTTATCATTCTTTATTCTACTCTACTTGTCACGCTTGCTGGCAACGGGCTCCGGTCGTGTTGTACATCGCACGCACGAAATGCATCGCGAAGGTCAGCCTGGGCGTCTTCAGTTCGCCTGAGCTTTGCGACCGCCGTTGGCCTCCCGTATGCTCGGTCGTCGAGGGCTCACCTGTCTTCGCCGCCGCGATGAGCTCTGGGCTGACGATATTGGGCTGAGACCTCGTCGCTGTGTCGGAGTCAACGAAAACATGTTGCGGGTTTTCGTAAAGAGCTTGGTTGTAGTATGTCGTGCACCGTAAGTGCACCAGCACGGGCTGGCGGGGCTTTCGCTAGCGTCGGAACTCATTTAAAATTGGGCGCCCTTACAGTTGGCTTTTCCGTCAGTCGGTCGCAAGCACCTCGGTGCCATCAGTTGGCCGCGGCGGCGGACTCGCCTTTGCGCGCTGAACTCGCTCGAGTTTGTGGAAAAGGGCCTCATTACCGTCGATGTCTTCAGCGCTAGCTCCAAACCAGCTCGGCGCTGTTCGTGGCTGTGGCCAAGCGTACACTCGCTCTCCTGTTCGAACTTCACTGGCGGCAGACACTCAGCGTGTAGCGCCGTGCTTGGTCTCACGTTCGCTTGCTCGAGCTGAACGACGTTGCTCGCTTGGGACTCACCGACTTGTTAGCGGCACGGTGGTTCGCGGAGTTGTGGCTGCGGCCGCCGCTCCTAAGCTGTTGCGCTACGGGGATCGAAATGAGTCTTTGACGATGTGTGACATCACAATCAAATTATTAGCATGTCATATCTCACGTATGTTTTCATTTTATCTTGCACGTATTTCTCATATGCCTTTGTATTCATCCTCTGTCACGTGCGACTCACTAGTTTTATTTACTTATTGTGCAGCCGTGGGCACACACCGTGCTGAAGACTGTGTCGCTGGCGTCTGCGATGCCTGTCATCCATCTCTTTCGTCAGAGCAGATTCAGAAGGACTGTGCGATATGTGAAGATAAAGTTATTTGTGTGTCATATTTTAAGCCTTGTTTTTATATTAACGCGCACGTACTTGTCATAAGCGTGCATCTTCATCTTCTGTGACGTGTGCCTAACTATTTTGCTATAAATATTGTACGCGCAGCCGGGGGAACACAACATGCAGAAGGCTGCATGCGCTGGCGTCTGCAATGCCTGTCATCTATCGCTTCAGTCGGAGGAGCTCCCCAAGGAGTGAACAAGATTTGACAACGTGACTGGACTTGTACACTTCACCGGAAATCCACTTAAAAGAATGTTGCATCTTCATGTGTATGTAGAAAAATAAAAGATTTTGATGTCTCACTTTTGTCTTTCGTTGTTGCCGTGACTACGAAAGCAGTTACACATAGGTAGCTAACTACTTTCAGCGTGTTCTTTTCGGCGCAATTTGTTGCTCACTGCGCAGAAAAACCGGCGAAAAAAGTATCAGACCTGGCGGAAAATAAACAAAAAACTATGTTTGAACTGAAGACAAAAAGTCCATCCGATTGAAGTATTTGAGTGAATCAACCATTCGTCCGGCAAGGTGCAGCTGTGATGACTAACAGTTGCCCGGTAAGGTGTAAATGTGGGAATTAACAGTTGCTCTATAAGGTGCCAATGTGAGGACTAAATGTTAGTCCTTTGATGTGAATTGTGGGACTAACGGTTTCTCACTAAGGTTTAAATGTGTGGACTAAATGCTAGTTCCTTGAGTTCGTCTGTGGGGACTAACTGTTATACTTGGTGCCGTTAGTCCATAAAGGGATTAATGGTTGTGGCAGTCCCATTAGTCCTCAATAGGACGAACCACACATCGTTTTAACACCCTTTTGCTTAGAGTGTAGCACACTGAAGTATCGAAGGTATAAATTCTATATTATGCACTAAAACTTAAGATCGGGAAAGTCTCTTTGGCCGCTCTGGTGCAAGTACGTCTCTGATACTGCAGCTTAAATTAGTCCAGGCATTTATTATTACGCTAAGTTTTCTGTTAGGGAATCGCAGTTTGTCTTTCAGTCATATAACATCACAAATAAGTAAATAAATTATACACCATCTCCCCAAAGAGAACCTTGATGAGATGCGAAGCAGCAGCGGTGCGCACGGCATTGAGTCGGTCGAAACGGGCAACGAAGCGTGTGCTGAAAGAACAGTTTGCAGTGAAACTCGGTGTAGTGTACCGTTTACTCGAGTAAACGTTTGTTTGAAATGCAAAGACAAGGGAGGCGGGTTGGGTTTTGTGTAAGTTTCCTCACATGAACGAGCCGAAAGAGTATAGAGATGTAGTTTCGCGTCCGCAGCAGCCGTACGGATACAGCCTGCCAGCCTTTTTCAATGACAGGCCACGTCCGTACGGCTACTGCATACACGCAAATAAATGCGTCTATAGGCGGTAACAGGCCAAGAATAATTGTAAGCTCCGCCCGCAGTGATCCTCATCCCAACTAGTCTGAATTTGATTAAATGTCTCAGGGAATCGCAATCGGTGAATTTATGTGACGTTAGGCAAATTTCGCGGACTTCACGCGTATAACTTGCTCATGCAGGCTGGTGTTTATTTCAAAAGTTTTTTATAGATCAATTTTACTTCTGGACAAATTTCATCGAAATTTCCGACTGCATTGCTCTGCGAAACATAACGTTTCAGCGAAAACTACGAACCCTTATGTTATGTGTAGCATTTGCATTACCCACAAAAACCTGCTTATGGTTAGATCGTAAATTGGAAATCATTGCTCTCAATGACATGTTTAAGCCGCAAATACCACAAAAACAAGTAAAGGAACGCACAATAGCAAGCAGAAACATCCCGTGCATGTTTTTGTGTGTTCCTTTACTTGTGTTTGTGTTATTTGTGACCAAAGCATGTCAATAAGCAAATACCATTTAGGCCAACAATCAGCATTGTTACCATCATTGCTCTGTTGCACCGACGAATGACAGAGGAAAAATTTGACCCCCTATCTGCATGTTTCACTGCAAATGTCTCGAAAGACGATAGTCTTGCGTCTGGAGAGAGTGATAAAAATGGCAGCATGTCCACGGAGTGAATGATGGATAGTGTGGCGAAGCATTAGTCCATCCATTTATGCGTGCATCTGTGTGGCCACCCGTGCGTCCATCTACTCGTCCGTGCGTGCGTCTCTTCGTGCATCCGCACGTTCATCTGTGCGTCCGTCCCTCCGTTCGTCCATGCATCCGCTCCTGCGTCCGTTTATGCGTCCATTCGTCCATGCAGCCATACATGCGTTCGTCCATGCACCTGTCTGTGTGTCCGTTCGTTCACCTATTCAACACTCCAAGTACCACCATCTCGCATCTTTGCATCATATATTCTTCATATAGAAGCACAGTCATCCAGCGGACATTCCAAGGACTGAACGAGAGGAGGCACACGCACACTTTCTTACTGCTTGCACTTCGTGTCTACTTCCCACCTTTAACCACCTCGTGTTCATGGTATATACTAGTTCACTGTATTCATGGCACTGCGACCCAACGCACGCTAAACCTTTCTAAAACCTAGGAGGTTACGCCCAGCGAGTATAACGTAGCAACCCTTTCTTGTCTTCTGCGCGTTGTTGAATAGTAAAAAATTAGCAGCGTGTGCGTTAAATAAAGACGAATTCTCCTGTCTCTCATTCCCCCTTAGCAGCCATTGCCATGTACATTGAGCACTATCTTTTATTGTACAACAACGCACAGGAGAAATCTCGCACCGCCACAACCCTGGAGGTAAAAATGTAATACTTGTTACAGACTACTACTACGGCCACGAGGGACGAACGGGTACCGCTTTAAGGAGCTTCACCATCAGCGTTCATGTTTAATTGTGTCAGGGCGGCTCTCACCGACGTGTGGGTCCAGTGTTGCGGCGGCGTCCCTTCGGCGTCTCACCCACATTCAGGTTCCCTGGGGCTTCGGCCGAGAAGTCGCCAACCCCTGGGGCCCCTGGGAGGATGGCGTCTTGGGCAGTAGGCACCTCGCCAAAAAACATTGTTTCACGTTTACCGTTCCTGAAGGCGCGGTATTCGCCGATGAGATCATCGAGTGTCTCGAGCAGACGACTGGTAGCGAAGGGGTGTTGTTACTGCAGCACCTCAGCGCTTTAAAGTTCTTGGTAGCAACGAGGACAGCGGAACAAGCCACCAAGCCCATGGTGAATGAAGGTTTTGTCCTTCAGAGGAAAAAAGTTCAAGTGAAAGTAGTCGGCCCACCAAGTGTGTTCATGAGGTGTACAGGTTGCCGTCGTCTGTACCCGAAGACGCGGTCATCTATGCTTTGCAGCATTTCGGCAAAGTACGTAGTATATCATGTGTTACTCTGCAACGACGTCAGTCTACATTTACCGGTACAC